CACTCTGTCATCTGCCGCATAGCTGTGTGCCCTATCCTTTAACATGATCAATTTCAAGTTTCCCAAAACCTACTATTATTTTGGGTGACTATGCATTTCCAGAGAGTTTTTGGCTTTCTATTGAAGTGCTTTTCGAAAGGCGTTTTGACTTTATCGGGTTCCGCAGGTTGCATACAAAAATGATTTTTAAAACGCAATCGATTAGCGAAGGTTTCGATGTTTCTGATGACATCAAAAATAGTTTCGTTTTAACAGTGGGTACAAATTTTTCCACTTATCCGTTGGAACGATAATCATTTACTGAACAGAAAAATTTATTTTGATATCTTCGAAATTACAGATTGATTTAAAATTGGTTTCAGTAAAACATTAGGCGTGATCGACGCTAATTGTTTTTGGAATTCCGTGTAGATGAGGATAATCAGTAAGAAAAATGACAATTGTTTTAGCAGAAGTACTCGAAGTTACTCTACTCGATTGAATATTTGAATATCGATCTATACATAAAAGAATATACTTACAAGAGCCCAAGACTGAGCCCAGAGGACCCGCTAAGTCGAAGTCGTTTTCTAGGTCCTGCTAGTCGTTTTCTAGGTTTACGAATTTCAAATCCTGGGGTTGATGATAACGTTTTTCCGAAAGTAGTGGCTCATGGTTTTGATACAGTCTGAGCAGTTCTTCCATGAAAGTACACCTGTAGTTTTATATGTAGACTCCTTAAATTTTCCAAAAAAGTTTTTTCCTAAAGGGGCCAGGGGGGGTTTTATATAATAATTTAATGGCCGCTTTTCTGAGAACTTATGGTAAGCACAATTTGTTATCCACATAAAGTAAACCGTTTGAGGTGCGAAGATCTCTATAAATATATTTTAAAAAATTTACCGAAATTAGTAGTGTGAAGATAGAATGTTATCTTCTTCAGTTAGTAAAAAAATCATTTTAATTTTGAAGACGAAGTACTTTAATTCTAAGGGACTTTCAGGCAGCTCGAAAGATACGAGGTTTTTTTTGCTGAGGACAATTGTTCAGAAAACATTGTTTCGGCGTTAAAATTTACCAGATCTGCCATCTAGGGATGCAATAATTGGAGTGGCAGTGATTAAATTGCATCATTAGAACTTTCCGACGTTTGATCATTCAGATTCGAGTTAGAATATAAGTTTTGTTTTAATAAATTAAGCGATGGAATAATGGTGGGTCTTGATTCTTGATGGGTTACAGGACAAAACGGAAAATAGTTCTTTGTGATATGTAATTTTTTCAAATTGAGCCACGTACAATTTTTTTTTGTAGTGCTTATTATCATAAACGTAGCCCAGTAGTTCGAGCTCGTTTGTCGAACTTTTTTTGTGAGGATATAAGAATTCATATGCAAAAGAAACGTACCTCCAATCGTAACGTGGACGTGGAGTCGTTTGAACGTAGCGCTGAGAACATCAAGAGAGGCGTATGTTGTTATTCTTGTACTTAGTTTGACGTCAAAATGTGTAATGTCTGTTATTTTTACTAATTTGTAGTTAATTTCTCACAAGCGATCGCGTGGTCGTACTGCCAATTATAGATTGACTTCTTACTCTGTTGAAATATTAATAGGCTTTGAAGGGTTGCAAAATTTGGGACGATGTCTGTGAAATGACTTATTGATCAAAAAAAATTGCGTAATTTCTTCAAATTGCTAGAGATTAGTATGGATTTGTTCGTTATGTTTGTAATCTAGTGGAATTAGAGCTGATTTTGATTTTAAAAACCAAATCACTGATTTTTTTGAAAGATTCATCTTTCAAAAAGGTAACTTACGGCAAACTTTGTTTTAAATCGAGATTTGATTTTAAAAAATTTTGGATTTTAGAAGAAAAATGCCGATGTTTGAGTCCATAACCCTTTGAAATTCAGTTGGCATCTCGTTTAATCCATAAAAGCAAAATTAATTTTAATATACGACGGTTATACATCTACAATTATAGTATTGCATTGCTGGCCCCTGATTTCGTCCACGCTTAGTTGATTTTAGGCTTTTTTGAAATCTAAATTTGTGAACCAGACTTCTCCGTTGGATTTTCCAGAACGAAGTGATGCGACTGTATCTACAAATTCATGATTGTTGGGCATTTGATATTTATTCTCAAATATTTGTTTGTTAACAAAATTTGAAACTAATGTGAGCTTTTTTGATTTATTTTTCAAGTGATCTTTAGTGGATTGATAAATATATCTTTGTCGCATTTTTCTTTTTTTTCGATATGTCCTTTTGAAATTAATCTATTCAGTTCTTGGTTTACTGCGGGGAGAACATGTAAAAGTACCTTTCTACCCTTTAGTTGTATTAGTTTTAATGGATCGCGAAAAGGTGTAAAACGTATTTGGTTTTTTGTTTTCCCGATTCTACCGAAAACTGTTTAAAAAAATTGGCACTTTTTTCAGTTTTTTTTTTCTCGAATAGTCCGATAGAGCTTACAGTCGACTTAGTTTCAGTTGTGTTCTTGAAGTGAGAAAAAATGCTGGAAACTTTTCGTTTCCCAGGAGATTGCATTTTTCGTTACAGACGGTCACGAACGCAATCTATCATAAAAGCATCCCTTGGATCTGATTGGTATTATAACTCGTAATATTTTTATTGCTTCCTCAGTCAAATCGCAGTAGAGATCCTTGGTTGCTTGGTCAACGGGGTTGAATTTCAGTTAGGGGTCTGGCAGTTTGAGTTCCTGGATCACTAAAATCTTTAAAAGCTCACTGGATTAGCTGAATCGAATAATATGTTCTGTTGGACGAAAAAGTTTTCCCTAGATCAATATTCAAGAGTTTTTGAAAATTTTTCCTTCATCGTCCTATATCGTCATCACGTGCAGTAACGAAAAGTAGTCGTGATTGCTTCGTCCTACTTCTGAACACACGCTTATTATTTATTACACATCAAGACTCTTCATGTAGATGTTTACTTACAACACGCTGATCCGACGAGTATGTACAAGTTTGGCATGTACAATTTCGTGATTGTTAACGATATTTTTTCCTTCTGCATTTATAATTGATTGTGAAGTGGCTTTAAAAAAAACAATATAAACAGAGGGCGTCCTTTCGAAGGCAAACAGCAAGGTGCCCTCAGCGGTTATTTTTATCATATCAATTTACGAGATACGAAGACTTAAAATCGTTTTTTGGCCATCTAAGCTAGCGCGCCCCAAATTTGTTCAACGCTTTTTCTATCCCTCTGGCGTCTGTTAGGCTTTGGCCGTAGATATAACATTGAGCGGATCGTCGTGTCAGCTTCTTCCATACGCATTTTTTGAAGGTCTTAGTTTTGAATTTGATTCTGACTTCTCTGATTCTTCGAATCTTCTTTTTTCCTCTAGAATTTTAGCTGTCTGTTAGGCTTTGACCGTTGTCCATTAATTCTGTTGCTCCTCGTCTAGTTGAAGCGTTTCTGGTTTCAAAAAATTCAGCGAATTTAGCAAATTATCAATATTGTTGTTTTCTTTGGCATTTAATGCCAATTGGAACATATCACTCTTTTTCGTCCATGGGGTTGGGGGAACGACCGTGTGAGTTTGCCAGAATGAGTGAACTCCCTTTAAGCCAGATTTGCTTACAGATGACTGCGCCTTAGAAAAATGTACTAATGATTTAGCTAAACTAAGCTCAAAATCTAAAAGAAAATAAAGAATAGAGTTCAAATAAAATGTGTGTTATTTCTAACTATCTCGCAATAACACTGAGCTCACTGACTCCGATGGAAATCACTAGCGTAAGTCAAGGTCAGATACGACTTTTTAAATGAGTAATTTAATTAAAATAAATAGACTATCACAACAAGACGGAAATAATCAGACCATTTGTTCTCGACACGAAACAAACTTGAGTTGTGATTTTTTTTGTGAATCTGTAATTCAATGAAAATACATTAAAAACATAACATTCTCGACATCCTATGATTGTTTTTTGAGCCGCCTGATTTTCGGCGACTAAAAGTCTCCCCCTAGTTTCTTTTTATTAGTAGGAGGGTCAGATTAAAACTGGCGTTAACAACCACTCATATCCATTATATGCCAGAGAAAGTATTGAAACGCAGATTTTTTGATACATCAAAAATTTGCAGGGGTTTTAAAAAACAGTTGCCATCTTTGAAACGTAAAAATGTAATAAATACCCTTAAAAACTGTATAACACCTGTATTTGGTCTGGAATTTTTTAATTGAATTTGTTCAAAATTTTTCTGTTCTCCATTGGAACATCCCAGAAATGGCGCGCTTGATTAACTTTAACCATGTATATTATCTTTAAATAATCCTTAAATTTGCGAAAAATTTTGTTCGAAGTATATTAATCATCCATCCAATTTCGTAGAAATTGTTTGTTTATCTTTTTTAGTCTCTGTTTATCTTATTTATCAGCGCAAAACTCTGTTTAATTCAATGGTTTTTTGAAACCAGAGTATATTGGAGAGAAATCTTTTGGTTACCTCAAAGTTTCAAGATGAGTCTTCAACTTGAAGGAGTGCTTTTTATGATTACCAGTTACAATTCCGATTAACAGAGGTGTATATCTTTTTTTCTTGAATGTGTGATCATTCGTTTCTGCGTTAGGAAAAATAAGCAAAGAGTTTAAAAGGGGCGCATGCTCCTGCTGACAGCAACTTGACTTCTTAATTACCGGGTCTCTAAAACTTAGGTTCCTTACACGACACCCTTTTTTGGCAAATTGATGCAGAAATTACTTCTACATTCGAGGGAAGCGCGAGCGTATCAGTTAAAACCTGTATATTTATCAAAAATTGTGCTTGCTATACTCCTCTTACAATCATCTTGTACAACCTCCATAACTACTTCTGAAACGCAGATACTTTTGAAAAGTTTTCCTGTTGGTGTTCGAAAAGATTGCTTCTACTTTATAAATGAAAAAAAAATACATTCACGGTTGGTATGTTTATATGTTTTAGTGCTTTCACCGAAAAACGTGTTGTATAATTTGATAACAAAAAAGTCATTTGTGTTCAAAATTACATGAAAGTGTTCAATTTTTCACAAGATTATAATGCAGATGCTTCTGACGCAGATTACGACGTCCCTTTGAATGAATTACCATTGTTCTTATTTATTTGTTCTGCTGGACTTTTATAAACTGACAGATAAATTAACAAAACAGTTTTTCACACTAAAGTAGATTTTTCTACAGAAACTACAATTTGTTAAAAAATACTCGTTGAAGCTCATCTTTTTGTTTTGGTCGAGAAAAATGACATATACTGAAGTTTTGACACTGGTTTTTGTTACTTTGGTTTCTGTGTGTCGAAATTTTGAGACCAATGCAAATGGTACAAATGGCGTGAAAGAGGAATCAATGATTGTAGAAAAACTCAAAAATTCACTTCCCAAATACTCGCCTCCTCAAGACATGCGTGATAATACAGTTCATATCTATGTCGACCTGTATCAAATATCCGACGTCGACGAACGCGAAGGAGTGATGACAGCCAAGTTGTGGTTATATTACTACTACTACTCAGAATCGGCTATGTGGAATTTTTCGGACTACGGCAACATTTCCGAAATCCATGTTCCAGCGAATACGTTTTGGTCGGCGGATATCAGTAAGCGATATTTAAAAATAAAAAAGATAGCCCGTTGATGTGCAAGTAGTACAAATTGTTCCGACCTTGCGCACTTTCATTTTGAAATAAAAATAAGAAAAAAATTTTAAACATCTAATCACGGCTGAAAAGGCTTTAATATGATGCCACACTTGACTTCCGACGAGCTTTCTTTGAGATAGTCAAAATCTGCTGAAAAAAATAGACCCTACCCTATAATTTCTTCCCACTTTGTGGATAATAATTGTATTAATAGCAGAGCAATTAACAGTTATTATAACCAGGCGCGGATCTAAGATTTTTTTCGAAGGGGGGGGGGCGGATTTTCAAAAAAAAAATTAAAAATTTGTCGACTTGTTTTTTATGTCGACCAAATTGATTTTTTGAGCTCTCCCAAATCACTATAAAGACCCCATTTTGACCAAGTTTTCTGCACCGCAGGCAAATTTTTTAAAAAACAGGCCAAAAAGGCATTTTTAGGCACGTTTTGGAAAGTATTGACCAAAAAATTGCGTTTTTCGGCGCGGGCTCCCCCTCAAAATAAGTATATATTGGCGAAATAGGCGCCTTTAGAAAAGTTTTAGGGTCAGTCAGCCAAAAATGGATATCTCAAAATAATACAAAGGGGGACCCTTTGGGTCGGCAGGGGGTCGAATCCCTGAGGAAGGGGACGTCCCCCCTAAACCCCCCGCTACTGAATATAACTGAACGAATCACCTGATGGTTATGAATCTGATCAGGTCAGGTGACTATTCTGACCGCCATAATGCAAGCATTGAAAGATTGAGCACTTGATATGTAGTAAAATAAACATCTATCATAAAAAAATCAGTGGCAGATTCAGGATTCTTACAAGGGGGGGGGGGGGGGGGGAGTGAGGTCAAAACTTTGTCGACCTTTTTCTTTGATTCGATCAAAATGAGTTCCTTGCTTTCTCTAGATACTTAAAAGTCCTTTTTAGCCTACAAACAAAGCATCTTTAGAAAAATCAGGGTAGGTCAACCAAAAAAAATATTGTTAAATAGAGACAAATTGGGGGTTAGTTCCTTGAGAGGGGATACGTGTTGTGGGATGGGTTCGATGAAAGAAGGGTTAAGAAACACCTGGGTTTTTTGTTCAGTTTAAGGGCTGAGCAAGGTTGACTTACCCTCGGTAACCAGCACGAATCATGTTGAGTCTCAAACCAACGACCTCCCGCCCACTGTATCCTTTTTAGATTTAGAGTCAATCGGTTTACCTCCGTTGACGGCGAAGACTCCAATTTTAGAGGCTGCTTCTAACCTCCCTGGTTTGGACAAACGGCATCTCCGTATCGCTTCCAACAACTGAACGTGCCCTTCCTTTCGAGAGTTGATCCGTGCAGCGACAAACCGGGTTCTAGCGGCCCGTTTTGTTGTCCTGTTGTGCTGGCGAATCTGTTCATTTCGGGACACCCTGCCCTTCTGGCGAGATCGTAGCCGGGGGCGAGGGCTTCGACGAGAGAAGTTAGGCAAATTGATGGGATAGTTTTCCACAAAAGTTAACAAGTCAGTCTGTTCGGCCGTCGAATTGAGTATATAATTTGAGTGAATAGAGATTTTAGTAAGAGTAATATTAAGATCATTCATTTCGTTAACAGGAAGTTGCGGTTTATTCATCATAGAAAGACTTGACTTTAGATTTTTTGAGTTTTAAAGAGATAGCATGAAGTGAGAACTGTTTTGAAAAGTTTCAGGTCGGAGACATTGATTTTGAGCGAGATACTGGTGAGTTCGAATTTTAATTAGCATACTGGTATTTGATTGGTCAGCTCGATTGGAGCATATTTCAACCCCCTCTATCGATGAGGAATTACACTAGCAAATTTATCAACGCCCCCTACCGGAAAACGACGACGAACTGGCGGAATGTAGCAATCCCTCAATACAGACGCGACGCCCTCTAGAGGACGAGATCTAAACCTCGGCTCTGATAAACCAGCGGAAATGATAAAATTTACGGCTTTATTATGGCTACAAAAAATTCATCGTATTGAGAAGGTTGAGGGGCAGAAAAAGTAGGATAACAAGACATGTAATAGACGATGCCTAACGTAACTCCAGAAACATGTATGACTTCAAAGTCGAAAGGTAACAACTTCATTTGCACTGTACTTTCCCTCTGCAATAATAAGAAACCATGAAGCGAAAGCGATTGGTGCGCAAACTTTAGGTTCGATCTCTTGCTGGAGGCAAGCTCCTAATCCATTATGATTAGCATTGCATTTAAATCTGGATTTCTTAGAAGAGTCATAAGAGACTAGGAATTTAAGCAATCAGATTAATGATATTTTTAAATGCAAATTCTTGTTCCTCCCCCACATGAAGGACTGATTATTGCAAGAGTTTAGGGATTGCCGAAAGTGCACTGCCAAAAATGTGTGGGTGCGTAGATCAGGTATAAGCCGTTGCAACTGATTAAGTGTACCCATCAATCAACGAAACTGCTTTTCTGTTTTCGGAGGCTTGAGTGATTGAATTGCTTCAATTTTCAAAAGTTTAGGAGAGTAACTTTCCGCATTGATTTGGTGACCCAAACAAGTTAACTGATTAACCGAAAACTCACACTAACTGAATTTCAGAGCCCAGCCCTCAGTGTCCAGTCTTTTCATCGCCGCATCTACAAGCACATTGTGGTCTTAAACATTTTCTTTCGTGTCCACCAGGATATCGCCCAGATAACAAATGACACCGTCTAAGCCCTGAAAAGTACAGTTCATTGCCTTCTGGAGCTCAGTTGGCAGATCGGTTAAGCCGTAAAATCCAGTTTTAAATCTGTACGTTCCCGTTGCTTTACCACACAGAATGTTGAAGCTATAATGACTACTAGTAACTGACGACAAAGGCAACTGACTAAAAGCGTAGTTCAAAACCAATGATGTGAACCAAACCACCTTACCATGAACATCCTTGGTAATGACTTGAGCCACCGAATTAATAGGTTCGTGCATATTCGGCATCTGGTACTTATTTTTCCAGATTTGTGCATTCATCGGTTTGGTATTAAGAGCGATTTTAATTGAACAATCCTTCTTAGCAGTCAACACAATGGGCGCAATAAAATGATCATCCTAAACTTATCCAGTTTATCAATATAACCATTTACCATTAGTCTTGATTTCGTCCGCAACTCTGTCCTGAATGTGTATCGCAACTTTAATATCTTTTATTTGCCGAGGAATAAGTAGGAATTTGAAGTTAGTATAAACTTTGGGGTTCTTTGATCTACCCAGACGATTAAATACATGAGCGTACCGTTTAGCAAAATACGATCTCCAGTACTCCGATATCGGATCATGCGGCATTTTTCAAGAAAATGAATGGGTTTGGCCGCAATTGGGTAGTCACCCCCACAACTTCTCATGAAGGTCCAGACCCAGAAGATTGCGTGTTTGGTTTTCAGAAAGAAAAAAGTAGCATCTTCAACCTTCCAACCATTAGAAGAGATAGGAATTGTGATCGAGTCCAATAAACGAATTGGACATTTATTACAATCCACATTAGTGGTTTCGACTGGGTGTCTCGCAACATCCCGAAAGTGAATGGACCGACTTCGTTGCAGTAAAAGATTGAAAGCACGACTGTTGAGTAACAAAACCGGGCTTTCTGTATCAACTGTGGAGTAAAAGAAACTAGGAGCTGAGGCTCGTGGGTTTGACTCCAGCTGATTTGAGTACATCAAGGCTGTTGACTTGCACTACATCTTCTAATTGGAAGACGCCATGCTCCGGTTCGCTATCAGTGTCAACATCTATGAAGTTTCAATCAATTGATTGGCTGGGCGTTGCCTCTTCTTCCTGAACCAGGTTCACCCTCCGCTTTGACGAGTTGCAACACTTCGCGGCATGGCCACGTTTTTTTACAGAGGTTACACGTAACTTAGTTTCCCGAGCTGGACAAGACTTTCTGTGGTCTAGACTGAAAGGATTACCGTAAAAGTAACATGATTTATTGCCTTCGTCATTTGGTTATTTTGACGACTCGCTTGGTTCTGAGGACCATTGCGTTTTCCTCTAGACTGCTGAAGAGAAAAAGCTGGTTCCTTTTTGACTTTAATGGTATTCGAACTGTGATTATGAGGAAGTAGCTTCTGAAATTGAGCTGACGTGCTTGCTTCCTTCTCACAGTCCAACGCAAGTTTAAAAGTATTATCTAAATCCGTCTTGGCTTTAATGAGCTGTTGTTGGTCGTCAACATCACGAATTCTCCAATGAAGAGGTCTTTGAGAATCTCCATCTCTTGAGCATTTGGCCAATTACATAAAGCAACCTCAGCACTCAACCGAGCATAGAAAGTTGAAAAAGTGTCGTTATTTTGCATAAAGACAATGTTATACAGCTTTATTTGTTCGACTGTGTAATCACGTTCAACTTTAAAAACAACGTTTCACAACTAGTGTGATAATCTTTGAATGACGTAACACTAATATCTGTATGTGGAAACGAGTCCGCAAGTCGCCTCTTGCCTTCTTTATCCAGCGAGAAAAACAACCGTGATTTTAATCTAGCTTCTGCCTCATGATAGAACCAGTTTTAACTTATCCGCGGACCTTTCCTGCTACGTTCAAGATTCAACTCGTTCCCTCTTCGGACAGCTGCTTGCTCCCTGAGGACTCGAGCATTGAGCAATGGCCTCCGCTGCATCTTCCCCAGTGCCAACAGTTTCTGGTTTTGGAGGAGGTTCATCAATAACCTCCGCGGGCTCGGCCTAAAGGTCGTGTGGGTTAATGTTATCTTTGAGTCCGACTGCTAAGAAAAACTGGTCAATCCACGACTCCCACAGAAACGATGGGTTCATAGATGGTTTCGCCCAGAAGGGAGGCATGCCTAAGAGATCAGTCCTGTCTTCATTCACAGGAGCTGCTGGCTGCGCCATGACATTTGCCGGGGAATACTAACTCAAAACTTGGTTGTAAAGTGAAACGTAAATTTGTTAATAATTAGATAGTTGGTTACAAGGAATAGTTTAATCAGATACGCGGTATCATTTCAACTTGAATAACATAATGTCTTTCGACATAAATTTGTATAAAGGAAAATGACAACATCTAACATCGATGAATATAAACATCAGAGTGACCACGCTCAACGTGGCACTCAACATATGCCTCCGCTGGCCTTGACCAAAGGTTAATAACATCACAAACTGCAGAGACACTGCAAAAAGAACACGTTAGGATTGAGGTACCGAAGGTCACCTCATGACAGGCAACCAGCACGAATCATGTTGAGTCTCAAGCCAACGACCTTCCGCCCTTAAGATTTTGATGTTGCTACATTGATAAATTCGGTTTCAGTTGCACTGGATGCAAAAGACGTTATCCACGAAGCCTACCACCGACAATTCGTCAATGGAATGACCGGTCTGGTTGCCTACTACTCTTCTCTCGCCACCATCAAGTTCTCCTGCTCCTTCGACGTCGCCAGCTTTCCATTCGATCACCAGACATGTAACCTTGCGTTTGGACCGTGGACCAGTGATCACAATGTCTACACGTTTGGTAAGAGTTTTTCTACATCTCTTGTGGGGAGGAGATTCGTTTTTAAATGTGTTTTTACTGCAAAATTTCTCAAACAAACGTCATGGCATTTTTAAACACCAGATCGTCCGCAGTTATACATATGATGAACTAGTTATAAACATTTCCGTCTGTTTTCAGGACCTGATGAGGCTTTCCTTAGAGAAACTGCCGACTTGCAGTATTACAAAGAGCACGACGAGTGGCTGTTGGATCGACCTCTCCCGCTGCTCTTCACTAAAAGGGGCTTCAGGGGATTCGTAAGAAAAAAGCGTCTCTTTCCAAATGCACAAACTTTTTTCGATTTACAGAATTTCGGCACGTTGATTCTAAACTACAAACATAGAATAGTCGCTTGCTTTATAAGTAACACTTAATACTGCATGTAATACAAATACTTGAAAAATTGACGAATATACTTTTAAAACTTTTTCTTCCATTTTTATGCTATGTAAATTAAGCTCCAATTAGCATAATATCGTAGAAAAACTATGACAAACAGTTAACATGGATTAACCGTTATCCGATTCAAAAGATCATCCGAGCAAAAAAAATTCATTTTGAATGAAAACTAAAAGTTGCAGAGTTTTTTATACTTATGAACCTTTTTCGAATTAGTTTTTTTATACTAAAAAGACTACTGAAAAAATTAAAAGTGATACCACAATTGATTCCCTAAGAGCAATTTCAGAGTTAACGGAGATCGTGGTAAGAACCGTGTGCCTTCTCAACTTCAGAAGCGGTCGGAATAAAATTTTGCTGATAATAATGCTAAACTATAATAATAAGAAACTATTTTGTGAATTCAGAGTTCCTAGCGTGTTTAGATGTTCTTCGATCAAATGGTGATGGAGATCAACCTGACCAGACGACATCTCTTCTATGCTGTCATCTTCATGCTGCCGAACGTCCTCCTCTACGCCCTCTCGGCTCTCGTGTTCCTCGTGCCAGTGGAGTCGGGCGAGAAGATTTCCTTCTCGATTACAATTCTGCTGGCGTTCGTTGTGTCATTCGGAACTATCTCGGAGCTTCTGCCTGCTAGCTCTCTGAACTTCCCAATCATTGCCTATTTTCTCGGTGCGGCTGTGGCTCAGATGGCTTTGGACACTATTTTGGCCACTGTTGGTAAGATATAGCATTGATAGAATTGTGTTTTTCAAATAATTGTTTTTTCCTGGATAACTTAGAGAAAGTTCAGAAGTTGAATTGAATAATTTTTACACTCTTGTTTAACACTTTCACTTTAACACTTTCACAAACGAAAATTTTCGGGATATGCAAAAATAAAGCTGTTTTTGACAATTCAAAACAAAAAATTAGTTTTTTTTTGTCTCCAGTAAGTTTCAAATAGCTAATATTTTTTTCTTCTGATAAAAATTAAAAGAAAATTTATCTTCATTTTTTAAATGATAGTTTGCGAAACGCTTATTAAAAGCCTTGAAGAATTATTTTTGAAACAAAGTCCTCTAATACACTTGTTTAAGTTATCAATATCCACTACTTGGGAGGTCGATCCAAAATGGGCAACAAACTGCGTCGCATCATCACCAGCAAAGCAACACTTGTCCTTGGCCTGCGACCCTGCCCATTGGAAAAAGCATTTCCTGGAAAGAAAGCGCGCGAAGAAAAGGAAAATATGAAAAAAAGCTTGGTTGGCAAAGCTGTCGAGAACAACAAACATGAGCTGTCTAAATGGTCTTCGCTTGGAGCTAAAGTTCAGGAGGGTTCAAACAATAAAGTAGCCCCAACAGGAGCTCAAAGAAGTTTGAAGGACTTGGTTCCGGATACCAGCGATTTGATGCAAGCAGTCGATGACATGATGACACTGGACAGCGAGTCAAATATGGAGTTTCTATGGCAATATATGGCCACAATCATGGACCGAGTGTTCTTGTACATCCATATCTTTATATCATTTTTAGTTGTGATCATTTTCATGACAGCACTTTGAAATGAAACATTTGAATCAACACAAGCACAATAACCAGTTGTTTGACATTTCAATCGACATTAAATTATCATAGTTGTTTCGAAGTTTGAATTGAAATAGTTTGTTTGAGCATCTATATTTTTCCCTTTGAGTGCTGATTAGTTCAGTTGAGTTAATACAATTTATCCGCGAGGAAAGAAACAACCTTCCCCCCTGTTCATTCGCTTTGCCCGCCATACCCAGAAACGCTTACTGTACAATTCCATACAAAAACATGTAAAATTAATGCATAAATTTGTGTAACCTCGAGTATTGCCTCAAATATTTTTATCATCATTTTTAAATGCAAAACGAGTTTTTCAAATTCGTATTCAAACGATTTATGTACGCCTTTGCCCAAAAACATCATTTAAAATGTAGATGACTGCTGTGAAAAGCTCAAAACAACTATGTTTTTTGAAGGAAGGTTTTTAAATGTCTTGGCAGTCATCTTTTGATTTTGTTAAATAAAATTGTAATATTAATGAGGAATTCGAAAAAAGTACCACCGCCAATTTTGAGACTGTTTAGAACTTGGATATTGTTATCATACAATTCGTGCATATGCATCCAAAAATTAAAAAAGAAGAAACAGTCTATATAAAATTTTGTCTTGACAAAAAAACTGCTAGTTATACATTTTTCATCAGTAGCTTGCCAAGTGGGTTGACGACCACCGTCCCCTTCAAGTCTGCCTGCCAGACTTTTTCATGGCTAGATTCCTCACATTGCCACTTTTCAACGATAACAAATTGTTACTGTATAACCTATCTGGTGCAAATACATGCAAATTTGCGTGCTGAAAAAATCGAGATTTTTCTCATAGCCTTCTAAATTTTGGGATCAATGGTAAACAAAGATAGTAAACACAGGTAAACAAAGATAAAAGGAAGACAAAAAGTAAACATCTCTTCTTGTTATATTTTCTTGTAATGATACAACTGCCTGATAGTAAAAAATAGTTTAATTTGCAGGTTTAATTATTTTGCTGAAATTTAACTCGTTGCGTGTATCCCGCACCGAGCGCCCATGGATTCTAAACTTCATGGGGGGGGGGGGGTTCTTAATTGGAATACATAAGACAAAAAAATTTGGCGCCATTTTGTACTTGGCAAAAAAACTTGGCGCCATACGACAAAAAAACTTGGCGCCATTTGTATCTTTCTAATGGCGCCAATATATACTAACTTTGAGGGGGAAATCGCGTCAAAAAAACGCAATTTTTTGATCGAAAACTTCCAAAAAGTGCATATAAAAGCTTTTTTGACCTGTGTTTTTCTTAAAATTTACCTGCGACGCAGAAATTTTGGCAAAACAGCGTCTTTTACTGCTTTCAGATAGCTCGGAAAATCAGTTTGATCGACCTAAAATGAAGGTATTCAAATCTTTCTAACTTTTTTTTGAATATCCGCCCCCCTCGAGAAAGTTGTAGATCCACCCCTGTGTGTTGACATACAAAAATTTCAATGGATTAAAATTGAAGATGATGAACTATATTGGCAAATAAATTGTAAGATTATAATCCAGTTTAATTGATTATAATCAGTTATTTTGTAAATTCAGAGATACTGGCGACATTATGACAATAAAATCGATATTGATCCATGGACACTTGTTGCCGGATAGAACTTGGAATTTTACGATATTAGTTTACCTAAAAACTCAAATTCGGCATTTTGTCCATTTCCTAGGAACTGGAACAATTTGCAAATTTATTAATACCGACATGTCTTGCAACATTTTTAAAGTTCAGATAATTAGTGGGCTTAAACCTTTTCAGATCCAAAAAAAACTGAGAATTGAGATTTTTTGTTTAATTTATCTGCAAAAAGAGTTCTTTTTATTCCAAGGTTCCAACTTTGCAACAAAATATGGTTAAGAATACTGTTTTTGTGATCTCCAGAGGTGTTTCTTACCCATTTAGATCTTAGGCTTGCAGCATAGTCAGTGTAATTTTCAGTTCTTATCTTCTTTAACTTATCTAGACAACTCAAAATTCACAAAAAAAATCTGTTAATATGATCGATCACTACGACCTTTTTTTTCAAATTAAAATCAAAATAACTCCATTAATATCAAAGTTTTTTTGAAAAAAAAAAAACATTTTTCAAAGCCTTTCAATCGAAGTTTTGATGATTTTTATTTAAACTACTTCCGTTCGATCTTCAGCAAGAAGTACATATTTTTTCTAAATTCTTTTGGCAAATCATCAAATTGTTGTTATTATGAAAAAAGTCTTTTAAAAAAAAGGGTATTTATTTTGGTTGTACAGTAAAAATTTCAAGAAAAGAATAACAACTGGTTCGAAAATTTTTTTTCTTCATTCACTTTTCTTTTCAACATTTTCTATGATGTCAAGTCTCATAAGCCTAGAGGAATCTGACATTTCTTCGAATTTGCACGGGCTCACCCCACGGTATTTTGTGCATGGCATTTTGCTTACGGCTTTTCTTTGAGTGTGCACGTTTTTTTTGTGGTAATGCAAATACTACAATAACTATTTTTCTAATTTTTTATTTACCAGTCCAATTGAAATAAATATTTCATCATCGGATTCACTTGTTCTCCTGCATTTTCGCCGGGATATTGAAAACATTTACGTCACCAAGTAGGCGGAGGGGCTTACTATCTTGATTTGAAAGCAAACAAGCGGAGGCAAAGCCCTCAATATTTTTGCAATCAAAATGAAATACTTTGATTTTTTAGTTATTTACGGCAGGTGCAAAAGTTAATAGTTTGCACTGATCTAACAATTTAACTTTTTTTAAAGGTGCAAAACCAATAGGTTGCGACTCTCAGTTTTATCAGATGTATAAAGAAAAGATGGAAAATGAATCCGAAACCTTGACTGCACGTGCAGATTTGCTTCAGCCAATAAGTTGAGAAATAAATGAAACAGATTTTTCACAATTATGGTTTCCGCAGTCTCTCAGTCCATAACAATTATAAAAAAATTCGGTGTTTAAGTTTGTGGAACCTCAAGTATTGCCTCAAAATGATTTTATCATCTTTTTTAAACGCAAAACGAGTTTTTCAAACTCGTATTTAAACGATTTATACGATATACGACGTATTTGTACGAATTTGCCCAAAACCTCATTTAAAGTGTAGATGACTGCTTTGAAAAGCTCAAAATAACTATAGTTTTCGAAGGAACGTTTTTCAATGTCTGGACAGTTAGCTCTTGCTTTTGTTAAATAAAAGTGTAATTTTAATGAGATATTCGAAAAAAGTACCACCGCCAACTTGAGACTGCTAAGAACTTGGATATTTTTATCATATAACTCGTGCATATGCATCCAAAATTAAAAACGAAGAAACAACCCATAAAAATTTTTGTTTTGATAAAAGAACTGCTAGTTATACATTTTTCAGCAGTAGCTTGTCATTATAATCCATTACCGATGTAAATCTCAGACCACGAAATCGATTATATTGCCATCATAATCGATCATTTCTGAAATAAATAAACCATTATAATCCATCAAAACCGATAATAGTTAGTTATTTTTGGCGCTGAAAATGATTATTTTTGCCAAGAAAATCCATTATAATTGATTTTTTATAAAAATATAATTCTATTTTAATCCATTATAATCTATCATAATCCATTTTATTTTTAGAACTTATTTCAATTTTTTTTGAAGAATTTTTGTAAATTTTGCAGGAAATTTGTAAATTGTATGCCATGCCTTTTTTAAAAGACCATGTCTCAACGTCATCCCCTCAAGTTTTTTTTACCTCCCTCCAACTAAAGAGGAGCAGCAAACTGGGGGTGTCAATCTTTAACCCCCTCTCCTTCCCGAAAATCAACCATCAAAAATACCACCGTGTTCAACTATAAAGAGGTGGGAAAGCAAATTGCAGTTGTGTTAAACTAACAGAGGGGAAGAGTGGCTGTAAACTGGCAGGGGGTAAACGGGGGAGGCAAGAAAAAAGGGGGGGTTCAAAATCGGAATACATAAGACAAAAAAACTCATAAATTTTGTGTCAAGGCTTCGAAACCCCATCGACCCATTAGCGCTTTCTTAAGGCGCTAATACATACTACTTTTGACGGGGAACGCGAGCCAAAAAAAACGCGATTTTTTTTATCGAAATTTTCAAAAAAAAAGTGCAAAAAAAAAACATTTTTGACCTGTTCTTCAAACATTTGCCTGCGGCGCAGAAATGTTGAACAAAACAGCGTCTTTTACTGCTTTACGATAGCTCGGAACATCAATTTGCTCGACCTAAAATGAAGGTTTTTAAACTTTTCTAAAATTTTTTTGAACATCCGCCCCCCTCGAGAGAGTTATAGATCCGCCCCTGTACATTGGCATAAAAAATTTTCAATGGATTAAAAATGATGATGATGGATTATATTGACATAAAAACTATTATGATTAAAATCCATTTTAATTGATTATAGTCGCTTTTTTAATAATTCATAGATACTTACCGCATCATGACAATAGAATCGGTAATGATCCATATACGCTTGGTGCAGGATAGAACTTGGAATTTTACAATACTAATTTCTACAAACCTAAAAACTAAAATTCGGCAATTTGTCCATTTCTTAGGAACCGAAGCAAGTCGCAAATTTAACAAATTTAATAATATTGACATGTCTTGCAACCTTATATACTAAGGCTGACTTTTCAAGTTCAGATCACTGGTGGGCTTAAACGTTTTCGATCCAAAACAACAGAGAATTGAGATTTTTTGTTTAATTTATCTGCAAAAAGAGTTCTTTTTATTCCAAGGTTCCAACTTTGCAACAAATTATGAATAGTAATGCTGTTTTTATGATCTCCAGTGGTGTTTATTACCCATTTAGGTCTTGGGCTTGCAGCACATTCAGTGTAGTTTCCATTTCTTGTCTTTCTTAACTTATCTATGAAAATCATAAATTACAAAAAATTCTGTCAGCATGATCGATCACTACGACCTATTTTTTCAAACTGGCAAAAACTTTATTGCAATTTTTAAAATTGATTAGTTCAATTTTTGTTTTTTTTTCAGACGATCTTCATCAAGAATTCTCTTAATATTAACGCGTTTTTTTTGG